AGCGTTGGCTGTGTTCATGGAGCAAGCCGGCAGACCGGTTAGGGTCGGGGGGGCATAGCGTGTTACGGAGCAGTGAGCAAGATATACCCCTGAGCCGGCCAGGTGGTGTGGTGGATAAAGCAGCTAGATCTCACATGGCCAGCTCTGTGGTCTGAGTCCCAGACCCTGCGGCATGAAAAGCACACAGTGTATGTGTGTGTGCCCAAGGTCCCAAGAGAACGGAGAAGGGACTGCAGCATAGACGTCCTCCATGGGGAGTGATTTCTTACTTCCCCTCTGTCTCTCTCCAGCAATCACAAGCACTCTATAACATACAAGCAAACAATCAAAAAGATGCAATCCCTAGGGCTACTCACTGGTACGGTGGTTAAGGTTCAAGTCCCAGGCTCAGCAACTTGAAAAATTAAAATAGATGTATGTACATACATGCTCAAAAATCCCAAGAGGAAAAAAAAAAATCCCAAGGGGAGACTAGAGAAGGATTCAAGATGGAGTGGCCACCTCCCTTGGGGGATTTCTCACTTTTAAAAAAAATTATTATTTATTTAACTTTATTTATTATTATTTAATTTGACCAGAGAGAGAGATAGAGAGAAAGGGTAAGTGAGAAAGTAACCACCGGGTCCCCAGACCAGGTCCTCAAACAGTGGTCAGCTATGGGGGAGTCCAGCACCTTTTTTTTTTTTTTAACTTTTTTTTGCAAGGTTTTTCCTATAGGGCGCATTCACTCGCCAGAAAGACAGAGAGAGTCAGAGAGACAGAAAGGCAGAAATCACCCCCGGGGTATGACCACACTGCAATCCCTTCTCCTCCATTCTCCTCTCGGGATCTTGGGCACACACGCACACGTGCCCGACATGAGTTTAAGCCTCCGGGTCCGGGACTTGAACTGTGGTCGACTACATGGTAGTTCAGCGACATAGCCATTATGCTGACTGCTGGTCCCAGAAGATTTGAACCTCTTTATTTGCATGACCGTGTGGAGAGATCTGAGTCAAATGAATAGCGAATCATTTTTCTTTTCTTTTCTTTTTTTTTTTGAAGTTCTTGCCTTAGGACATGTGCTCTCAACGAGGAGAGAGAGAAAGAAAAACAGAGAAAGGGGCCAGCAGGTGGCATGCTGGTTAAAGATGCTAGACTTTCACATGGCCAACCGTGGTTCAAATCCTGGACCTGGCAGCTTGCTTTCTCACTTTTCCCTCTCACTCTCTCTCATGTGTCCTATAACAAATTCAAAAACATAATAATAAATAAAATTAAATAGATAATTATTAAGGGATTTGCAGGTGGTGTGGTGGTTAAGGGTGCTGGACTCCCACATAGCTGACCATGGTTCAAGTCCCGGACCTGGCAGCTTGACTTCTCAATTTCCATGTCTCTTTCTCTCTCTCACTCTGTCCCTCTCTGGTCAAAATAAAAAATCAATCAATCAATTAATTAATTCTTTAAAAAATAGGTAATTATTTTTTTAAAAAGAAAAAAAAATAACAGAGACAGTGAGAAGGAAAGTGAGAAATCACTCTCCCAGGGGGAAAGGCCATGCCTCAATCTTTTCTCCTCCATTCTCCTCCTGGAATCTTGGGCTCTCACACACATGCTCCTAGCATGATTTTCAAGCCACCATGTCTGGGACTTGAACAGTCGTTGGCCATGTGGGAATCTAGCTATATAACCACTATGCCACCTACTGGCCCTGCAAACCATTTTCTTTTCTTTTTAGAGTTATTTATTTTATTTTATTTATTATTATTATTTTAATATGACCAGAGAGGGACAGAAGTGGGAAGGAATGAGACAGCAAGCCACCAGGTACAGGACTCAAACTAAGGTCAGCTGGTCAGCCATGTGGGAGTTCAGCACCTTAACCACCATGCCACCTGCTCCACCCACCCCAAACCATGGTCAAAATTCACCCCAGTACACTGACAAGAGCAAGAATCTCTCTTTTTTTTTTTTTTTTTTGCTGTAGGACACATGCACTCACCAGAGAGAGATGAGGCGGGGAGAAGTGAGGACACAAGTTGTAGGGTCCAGGACTCTAACCATGGTCAACAGTGGAGGAGTCCAGCGCCCTAACCACCACACCACCTGCCGGCCCTGTGAGAATCTTTTTTAAAAATTATGAGCAGTTTGGAACCAACTGGTGGCATGGTGGTTAGGGCGGCTGGACCCCACATGACTGACTGTGCAGTTCAAGTCCCAGACCTAGGCTTGAAAAATACTCTGGGTGTGTATACATGTGAGCAAGTGGACAGTGGAGGAGTCCAGCGCCCTAACCACCACACCACCTGCCGGCCCTGTGAGAATCTTTTTTAAAAATTATGAGCAGTTTGGAACCAACTGGTGGCATGGTGGTTAGGGCGGCTGGACCCCACATGACTGACTGTGCAGTTCAAGTCCCAGACCTAGGCTTGAAAAATACTCTGGGTGTGTATACATGTGAGCAAGTGGCTGAAATCACAAGAGGAGAATGGAGAAGGGATCACGGCATGGCCATCCCTCCTGGGAGTGCTTTCTCACTCTTCCTTTCCCTCTCTGCTTCTCTCTCTCAAAAGAGTGCACTCGCCCTGTAACAACCAAATATATATATATATATATATACACACATACAGTTTTAAAGAGAAATATGATACGCTTGTGGAACAGCCAAGTGAAGCCAGAAGGTATTTGAAAAACTAGGCCTAAAGACAGATCGTAACTGGAGATGAAAGATGTGCTAGTCATCAGTACAGAGATGGGGCTTGAAACTGTGACTGTGGATTAACCCAGGAGAGTGTGAAGAGCAGGATAAGAAGCAGGGATGTGCTGTTAAATATTTAACGATCATCCCTCCAGCTAGAAAAGGCCTGATTTGTAGCATTTGCTGATGTCTGTGGTGTAAATACTCCCACCATGATCAATTTTAAGCTACCACTTGTCATCACTGAGCACCGAGTTGTGAAGCAACACATTCGGTTTGTTCTTCTGAGCTGCTGCAAGCCGCTCCAGCACACCACTCAACTCGAGAGTGCCCTGCATGCAATTTTTTTCAAGTTAATTTAGTCATTTATTCCATGAGTGAAAGAGATGGAGGGACAGAGACAGAGACAGCAGCCCAATAGGGTCCTGATGTTGTGATCTACCCTCGTGTGTGTGCCCAGTGTACAAAGGGAAGCTTCTAGACACAAATCGCAAATCTTTCCATGCGGGTCAGCTTCAGAGTGTCACGTTTTATTGCTGTGCCATGACCCAACCCTTTCTTTCTTTCTTTCTTTCTTTCTTTTTTCTTTAAAGAATTATTTAACTTTTTTTTTTTCAATTTTGATCAGAGAGAGAAAGAGAGAGAGAGAAAGTGGGAAAGCAAGCCACCAGGTCCAGGACTTGAACCATGATCAGCCACGTGTGAGTCCAGCACCTTTAACCACCATGCCAGCTGCTGATCCCAACCCTTTCTTTCTTTTAAGTTTCTTTATTTCTTCCTTCCATGAGTGAGAGAGATGGAAAGAGACAGAGAGACAGACACTCCAAGCAGGGTCTTCACACCATGATCCCAGCTTCAGCCAGCCCCTGATCATGGGCAGACGCATGCCTGGCATGTTCAGGGGGCCTCCAGATGCCAACCTGAAACCTTCCTGTGTGTGTCGGCCTCACAGAGCATTGTGTTACTGCCCCATCCCCATTCGTGCCCCCACCTGCATACAATTCTAATATGAATATTTAAGAAAGGGACAGAGTAAGAGAAATCGTGAAAGAAAAAACCATTCTAGGAAACAGAGGAAAAAAAGGAATGTGAAGGAGGGAATTGTCAGCTTAGTCAGTTTATACACCTCCCTCAAGCAAAAAAAATCAAATAAGATGGAAACCAAATAGTGCCCGGGAACCAGCAGTTAGCGTAATGGCTACGTCACTGGACTCCCACGTAGTCGACTGCGGTTCGCGTCCCAGACCCGGTGGCTTACAACTCACGCCGGGTGTGTGTGCATGCGTGCCCAAGATCCCGAGAGGAGAATGGAGGAGATGGGATTGCGGTGTGACCATCCCCCCTGGGGGGTGATTTCTCGCTTTCTGTCTCTATGTCTCTGTCTGTCTGGCGAGTGCACTCGCCCTATTGCAAAAATCTCTCCAAAAAAAATAAACAAATAGTGCCCATTGGATTTAGCAGCCAAGAGGTCATTAGCATCCTTGATAAGATCAATTGTAATGACGTGGTAGGAATGCAAGATAATGATGGGCCTAAAAGTGAACAGTCAGATCAAATGTTGGAAACCGCAAGTGTAAATTCTTGGACACTGAGAATAGTCAGGCTGGATTCTATTTTCCAGCAGGAAGGAGAGCTGGATCAGTCATTCAAAACCATAATAGTACGGTCCTTTACTCCCCTGCCCTGTGCACACACATATAAATGCCTAGATTTCGTACTTCCATGCCTCTCACAACAGACCTCAAAGTCGTACCATTTCTCCAGAAGGCCTGGGAGAAGGTATTGAGTGTGTTCTGCATTGTGCTATGGTCACCTTGGTTAAGTGCAGCTCCCAGAATCCTTTGCTTTGCCTGTTCAAACTTAGAATTGGCCAAAAGAGTAACTTGAGTGGAATTTGGAAGGCAGATGAGACGCAGCACCTGTTCCCTCGGGAGATCAACAGTGAGCCCTCGTGAGCACATTCAGGTTTGGCAGGCCGCAGCCTCTTCATCGTCTTTCATTCTGCACCCAGCTCATCTTCCCAGCCGTTGACCTACGATCAACAGTAGCCCAGGTAAGCTACCAGGTGCACAGACACAGACCCACAGCTTCCCAAAGATCTCTCCACAGCCCACTCTCAGGCAGTCCCACTACCGCGACTGAATGGGGCTTGGCCTCAGATTTCTCTGCAGCTCCAACTGTCTACCCACCCAGTGCTTCAGACAGTGCTTTTGATCCTTCAGCTCCCCTCCCTTCAGGTCGCTGGTTCCTCTCACATCTGTGTAACATTTATAGTTCCTCAAAGAAATCCTTTATCTCCATAATGCTCTTGATTGCTCTGATTCCCAGACTGAACCCTGACTGGCACACGGATTGGTCTTGGGAGGAAAGTGCAGCCAGAGCAAAACCCAAATCACATGACTTTGGTTTTGGGAGTAGGCAATGGCTTGAGGCTGGAAAAGCAATAAGGAAACTGTTAGGGCAAAGGTTGAAAAACCATAGAAGGAATCTTAGGACAGGTTGGAAAGTGGTGAAAACTGCTACTGGGCCCAGTTGGGGGCATGGTGGTTAAGGGGGCTCAATCCCACAGGGCCAACTGTGTGGTTTGAGTCCCAGACCCAATGGCTTAAAAAACATGCCAGGTTAGCATAGTGATTAAAGCGCTGGACTCTCTCATGGCTAATCATGGTTCGAGTCCCAGATCTGGTGGCTTGCTTTCTCACTTTCTCCCTCTATCTGTCTGTTTCTCTCTGGTGAGTGCACGTGCCCTATAGCAAATTTTAAAATAATAATAATAAATAAAAATTATTCTTGTTTTTTTAAGAGAGGAGATTTTTGCTATAGGGTGAATGCACTTGCCAGAGAAACAGAGACAAAGAGAAAGCGAGAAATCACCCCCCGGGGGGATAGCCACACTGGAATCCCTTCTCCTCCATTCTCCTTCTGGGATCCTGGGCAAGGACACACACATGTCTGGTGCAAGGTTTTTGGAGTTTTCTTAAAGAATTACTTGTTATTGGGAACCAGCAGTTAGTGTAATGGCTATGTCGCTGGACTCCCACGTAGTCGACCGCGGTTCACGTCCTGGACCCGGTGGCTTAAAATTCATGCTGGGCGCGTGAGCGTGCGTGCCCAAGATCCCAAGAGGAGAATGGAGGAGAAGGGACTGGGGCGTGGCCATCCCCCCTGGAGGGGTGATTTCTTGCTTTCTGTCTCTGTCTCTCTCTGTCTGTCTGGCGAGCGCACGTGCCCTATAGTGAAAACCTCTCAAAAAAAAAAAAAAAGAAAGAAAGAAAAAAAAAAAGGATTACTTTTTATTTTAATTCCATTTTTTATTATTTTTAATTTGACCAGAGAGAGACAGAGAAAGGGAAAGGGAGAGAGCAAGCCGCCAGGTCTGGGATTCAAATCATAGTCTGCCATGTGGGAATCCAGTGCCTTAAACCCCCATGCCACCTGCCGCCCCTCAGCATGAGTATTAAGCTGCCAGGTCTAGGACTTGAACCGTGGCTGACTATATGGAATTCCAGTGATGTAACCATTATACAATCTGCTGGTCTCTAAATTAATTATTCTTAAAAATAAAATAAAATAAAATAAAAAGCCAGGTAAAAACCTGACAGGAGAATGGAAGAGAAGGGACTGTGGTGTGGCCTCCCCCGCAGAGGGTGCTTTCTCACTTTCTCTCTCTGTCTCTCTCATTCTCCAGTGAGCACATGTGCCCTATAGCAAATAACAAAAATAAATTGGGGGCAAGTAGGTGGCATAGAGGGTAAGGTGGCTGGATCCCATATGGCCAAATCATCTGATCAAGTCTCAATCCCGGCAGCTTGAAATCACAACAAATAAAAAGGTAAATAAATGTTTAAATAAATAAATAAATAAATAATCCTGAGAAGAGAATGGAGGAGAAAGGATTATGGCATGTCTATCCCCCTGGGAGGTGATTTCTTATTTTCTGTCCTTCTGTCTCTCTCTTTTTCTTCTGTGAACACACACACCCTAGAGCCAAAACTGAAAACAAACAAAAAATAAGTAAATAAACTGTTAAAAGCCCTGCCATTATGGGCTTGGAAATGGTGATATATGTTATAGAATAGTGAACCATTAGCCAAACTGTCACCTAGTAGCATGGAAGAGAGAAAAGTATACTGAATCTACTTTGGGATTTAACTATGATGATCTCCAAGCAGAATGTTGAAAGCACCAATTGGTTAGTCCTAGCTGCAAGTGACAGAGTACTGCAACAGAAGGGGGGTGTAGTGAGGGGTTGAATGTGGTGGTGGGGGATATGGTGCAACAGGAACTGTAGTTTGCACACAGAATTTAGAGCAACTTCAGTTCAATCAGAGAAATAAGATCAAGAGAACTATTGTACAATATGGTAATTAATCTATATATTATATTCCTGAAAATTGGTTAGAAAGTAGCTAGGGTTTTTTAGGTTTTCTGCGTTTTGTTTTGTTTTGTTTTGTTTTCTATATTTTTGTCAGGGCACCGTTTTGGTGGTTAGGGGCACTGGACTCCCACATGGCCAACCATGGTTCGAGTCCCAGACCTGGTGGCTTGCTTTCTCTCTCTCTCTCTCTCTCTCTCTTACTTTGGCTCTCTCTGGTCAAATTGAAATAAAATAAATGAGTAAATAAATAAAGTTAAATAAAATAATTTTTATAAAAAGAGCGAAAGAGAAATCACCTTCCAGGACGAATGGCCACTTGACAATCCCTTCTCCTCCAGTCTCTCCTTGGGATTTCCTTGGGATTACACACGTCTGATGTGATTTTCAAGCCACCAGGTCCAGGGCTCGAACTACCATTCCCATGTGGGAGTCCAGCGCCTTAACCACCATGTCACCTGCTGGTTGCAGTAAGAGAGTAGATTTTAAGTGTTCTCACCACTAAAAAAAAAAATAGTAAGTATAGAAAGTACTATGTATGTTAATTAGCTTAATTTAGCCATCCTTTAATGTGTATGTATTTTAAAACATGTTGTACACAATATGTATATACTATTTTTATTCGTCAATTCAAAAAAAAAGAGAGAGAGAGAGAAAGAAAGAGATTAGAGGAAACAGAAAATCCAGGACTTGCTTTCACAGAAAACTAAACTATTCTACATCTGCAACTGATCCAGACAGCAAAAGATTCTGAGTGAGGAATGGCCTCAGGGTAAAAACCAAATCAAAGGCTAGGCTCTAAGTCCCTTTGCTAAAATTTCAGAAACGTTGAAAGTGCTGCCTCTAGACTCTCAGTTAGACAAAAGGGCTTCTAGGATTCTTAAGGACATGGTCTTAAAGAGGATTAATCCCCAAATAGCTAGGAATAATCTAAAGGGTGGGCCTGTCTCAGAAAAAACTGTGGATGTGACTTCTGTCCAGTGGAGCGAACCATAAATCTGATACACAGAACATCTACGAAGTTGCTTAAGAAATGTGTATCGCTTTAGACCAAAAAAGAGATTGTCAAAATTGCAAAGTAAGCCACCAGGTCCGGGCAGCTTACTTTCTCACTTTCCCTCTCTCTACATATATCTCACTCTGTCCATCTCTGGTCAAATTTAAATAAATAAATAAATAAAGTTAAGCAAAATAATTATTTAAAAAAAAAAAAAAAACGCTAGGCATGTGCACACATGGACAGGACCTAGATGGGATAACAGTTGTTGGAAAGAAGGGCCAGCTTTGTAGCCTAGTGGTTAAGCAGCTGGATCTCTGGATCCTGTGGTTTGAATTCTAAATTACCAGCTTGAGAAATGTGCCAGGTGCATGTGCATATATGCCCAAAATCCTGAAGCGAGAAAGAAACGGAAGAGAAGAGACTGTGGCATGACCATGCCTAATCTGTGCTGGAGTGGGGGCTTCCTCTTTCCTCTTTCTGTCTCTCTGTCAAGCACACATGCCCTCTAGCAAAAAATAAAAATTATAGAAAAGAAGGAGACCAGCAGATGGCATAATGGCTATGTCATTGGACTCCGACATAGTTGACTGCAGTTCAAGTCCTGGATCCGGTGGCTTAAAACACACACCAGGCTCTTGTGTGTGTGTGCCTAGAATCCTAAGAGAAAAATGGAGGAGAAGGGATGTGGCATGGCCATTCTCTCTTGCGGGGTGATTTCTCACTTTCTGCCTCTCTATCTCTTTTGTCTCTTTGGTGAGTGCAAGCTCCCTATAGCAAAAATCTCTGTCTAAAAAAAAAAAAAATTACACACACACACACACACACATATATATATATGAAAGAGGATTACAGTATTGCCTGGTCCCACTGAGGCTCACTCCGTCCCTCCTATCTCATGTCGCTGGACTCCCATGTAGTTGACCGCAGTTCGCGTCCTGGACCCAGTGGCTTGAAACTCACGCCGGGCATGTGTGCATGCGTGCCCAAGATCCCAAGAGGAGAACAGAGGAGAAGGGATTGCGGCGTGGCCATCCCCCCAGGGGGTGATTTCTTGCTTTCTGTCTCTCTTTCTCTGTCTGCCTGGTGAGCGCATGTGCCCTATAGCAAAAACCTCTCCAAAAAAAAAGAAAGAAAAGAGAAAAGGAAAGGAAAGGTTTCTCAAAAATAGATTTATCACATAACTCAGAAATTCTACTATTGTGTGTATATATATATATATATATATAT